AAATGGAGGAGTATTGACTGCACTCACTGACTTTTCAGGGAAAATTCAGGTACATGTCTCTGTAGTCTACCTTAATCTTATAACAAGGAGGATTACAAATCTACAAAAAACATGAGAGGAAATTACATCACATGTAAAGCATATGAACAGAGATCCTGGCTACTTTCAAGCTCAGGGTTTTCTTGGTTTTTTGGGTTTTTTGTCAGTTTTTTGGTTTTTTTTCTGGGTGAGTTTTAGCTTTATTTTTTTGTTGTTGTTTTGTTGCTGTTGTTGTTGATTTTGGGCTTTCTGTTTGTTTGTTGTTGTTGTTGTTGTTTGGGGTTTTTGGGGGGTTGTTTTGTTTTTTTGGTGTTGTTGTTGATGTTGTTATGGGGTTTTTAAAATATCAAATACTTGAATCAACAAAGATCCCAGCATCATAGGCTGGTTTACAAGTAGCCCTGCAAGAGGGTTTAACCTTTGAGGTCTATGCCCTGAAATTTTCATCTGATACTACCCCAATATTTGCTAATAGTATTAAATGTACTATTTAGAACTAGTATTTGGGGAGCATGAGGGATTAATACAAAAAAACTTGACACTACTTTCTCACGTGCAAATTAACTTTAAGGAACTCGTACCACTCTTCTGTCTTGTCTTCTCATTCCTAGACAGAAAGTTTGTCAGGCATTCTGAGCTAGTCTGTTTCCAGCTACACACAGGAAGCATCTCTCCAGACAACCTTGCTGGATATAGGTGGAAGTCCACAGGTAATAATCTCACATGTCGCCTTTGAGAATTTTCACTCTGGTTAACTTTTCTACAAAGAATATATGAGCAGGACATGATGCTTCACTATATTTTTAACAATTTTCAAAAAGGTTGGGAGTGTTGTAGTTCAATTCCAAAAAAAGAATAATAAACAAATTTTCAATTTGTGTGCTGAGCTGTGCCAATTGAGAGGAAAAAAGTCCTGTGGCCTTGTTTGCCCTTCCTGGCTGGACATGCACACAGACATTTCTACATTGGACATTAACTTCTTATCAGCTCCATGTGCCTTTCCCATGAATGCTCAGGCACCAATTGTAAAATTCACTTTGATGAACATCCTGAATAAAGCACTGTAGTGATTCAATCCCAAAATCTTACAAATCTACCTAAAACAGAAGCTTCTCAATATTTCAGTAATTATACACAAAAGTACCACAAACCAATGAAAATGTACATTCTATCTGCCCACTTGTGGTAACTTGTGTAGGCTGGATTTGATCCAAATATCTTGCAGGGAGATTCCTTAGCTCTGCATTAATCCTTCACATCAACTCTAATCCTCTCAGTAAACTGTTTGCATTTTGCAAGTTTTCATCATAAATGACAAGGAATTTTAGGTTAGATATCAGACAAAACACAACAATGTAAGAAAGAAATAAATAAAGCAAAGCTATTCAGGGTCTGACAGCACTGAATAAGCAAGCAATATCACCCACAGGGCAAAAATAAGAACAAGAATGAACATGGGACTATATGTAGCAGGTTTTGTAAAATGCAATATAGGTTTGGAAGAGCCATAAAAGCAAGCCACACAGTAAGCAAATGCAGCTGTAACTGGAGTTTTATGAGTGATGGATTCCAAGAGTAGAAAAAGAAGCAACTCTAACCAGAAAACTGTAAAAACATGGGAGAGTTTCATGCTGCTGTAGGATATTTGAAGGAGAGGAGAGAGGAGAGAGGAGAGAGGAGAGAGGAGAGAGGAGA